CTTGTTACATGTAACTGTAGCTATATTAAAGACTTCTAATTACAAGCTTCAAGTCAGAGATCTCACTAATCACCACCCTGAGAACAGGACAGCGATGAGCTGCCAAAGGCGTGGGCAAATCGCTCTCCTCACCAGGTTTAGATGCTGCTCTTCAAAACTTGATTAGCTACAGATACACAGGTGCTAATTCCTACTGTCTTCTTTGTAGCGCATCCTCACTATTATCCACTCTAGTCTGATTTGCATTCTTATTGGAATAGTATTATTCTAATTAAATTATCCCGCACACAGAATGCTCCATGATGAAGATGATTAAGTGGGTTTAGATATTGGCTAATATCACAAACTGCACTCTCTGTGTCAGAGAAACTGGTGAGGGCTGTACACAAACAGCAGGAACTCCTTGCTGCCACTGTAGGTCCCAACGGTGAACAGAAATGATGAAAAGGAATGAAAAATAAGCAGAGAATCAGTAAGCTCAATTTAAAAAAAAATATTGCAAGAAAATACAGACAATCAATTGGATCTGCTCTCTGAAGTGTTGAAATTAGCCCTAGGAGTGAACTCATTTCAAGCACGTTACTGAGAGCAGAACTTGCCCCTTCCAAAAGCCAATAATAGTTCCCACACACTCAACGGACAGGTGGTGACACTGCCCTCCTCCACCATATGGCCCACATCTCATCATCATCACAGAATCATTGTAGAATGGTTTGGTTTGGAAGGGACCTTGTAGATCATCCAGTTCCAACCCCCTGTCATGGGCAGGGACCCCTTCCACCAGCCCAGGGTGCTCAGAGCCCCATCCGACCTGGCCTTGAACACTGCCAGGGAGGGGGCAGCCACAGCTTTTCTGGGCAGCCTGGGCCAGGGCCTCATCACCCTCACCGTGAAGAATTTCTTCCTTGTAAGCTAATCTACGTCTGCCCGCTTCCAGTTTAAAATCATCACCCCTTGTCCTGTCATTGCATGCCCTTGCAGGTCCTTTCCTCTCCAGCTTTCTTGCAGGCCCCTTCAGGTACTGGAAGGCTGCTCTAAGGTCTCCCCTGAGCCTTCTCTTCTCCAGGCTGACCAGCCCCAGCTCTCTCAGCCTTTTCTCGTAGGAGAAGTGCTCCAGCCCTCTGACCATCTTTGTGCCCTCCTCTGGCCCCACTCCAACAAATCCAGGTCTGTCCTGTGCTGAGGGCTCCAGAGCTGGACGCAGGACTCCAGGTGGGGTCTGACCGGAGCGGAGCAGAGGGGCAGAATCCCCTCCCCTGCCCCGCTGGTCTGAATGTTCAGTGCATCTTTGGATGCATGTATCCATAACACATGAAATGAAGAGGAGCCTTACAGGAGGCTCTGCTCTCCCCAGGAGCCACATCACAGTGGTGTTACAGCAGCCAACGGTTGTGTTTCCATCTTGCACTCCTGTTCGGTTTTGGGGACGCGCTTGGATAAGCCCAAAGCTTCAGCTGCATCCCCAGCCAGTGCCCAGGACCTGTGAGCCACCTTTGAAAGGGTTTCTGTCCACCTCACGTGTAAAGCCTGAAGTATGCACGTATTTTCACCGTTGCAGAATGATATTTTGTTCTCAGTTATTTCTCACAGCCCACGTTTAGATCCAAACCGTGATGGATTAACCCATTCAGAGCATCTCTTCACCGCAGCGTGAGCATTTCAACAGACTCACCAAAACCATGAGGGCTGCCAGGAATACCTTAGTTATCCACAGAGGTTAAAATTTTATTTTGATATAAAAATTAAATAGCAAAGTTTTGGGGTTTTTTTACAGTGATAAATTAGAAATTTACAGTACATACATTGAAGCAGATATATTTTCTGTACACCCCAAAATCATCAGTGTCTATTTCCTTAAAATTCAGAAAAAGGAGCTAACGTGTTGCTTAATGTAAGAGCGAAAGTTGTACCTCTCCGGCAGACGCTTCCTACCCCCGCGGCGAGAAGAGCACACGCCGGGGGGAGAAGGGAGCAGGGGCTGCGCAAGGAAGGGAACCACTGCAAGGGCCGTAGCTGTATAACCGCAGCAACTGCGCTTCCGAGACAGGATTAGTCACACATTTTTTGGCTTTAAACTCAGAACAACGTTGAAACGAGAGAACATAAGAGTTGCAGATAATCTAAAAACTTGTGGTTGCCGAGAGTGGGTATCTGCTGTGACTCCCCACTCATACAGCCCTGAAGTGGAGCAAGGTAAATGCATATGGATGAATAAATTTCTGGAACGGTTTCACCACTACAACAGCTAATCTGACTTTGGTTTGGTACAGTGTGCCCCTGAATGCTTGGGAAAGATGTTCCTCCAGCAACAGCAGCTGGTGTCTCTCCTCAGCCCACCTCCGCCCCATAGCACTTAGGTCCCATACGCTCTTTAATGGAACAACCTCCCAGGTCCTCGTAGGGCTACGCAGTGCTACCCTCATCCAGCTCACTTCCAACGTCTCAGAGCACTGGGGACATCCGTCTGTCACAGTCCACAGGGTCACAGGCAGAGACGCAGGGATCTGATAAGAAGGCACCACTTCACATTCACCTCTGTGTACATAACATGGTTAAAAACGCCGTTTATTGAATCAGCCAGGTCACACACGGGGCAGATCGGCCAGGAGACTACCCAAACCGTTTCCGAGCGAAGGACACTTGAGTGAACGTGACACCTTGGCACAGCCCAATGCCAGGTTACAAAGCAAGGCTCCTACTGCATCCTCACTCCTTGAAAGTCAACATACAGCTGCTGACTCCACATCCCTCGCTGGCCCAGGAGCAAGATCGCACGACGGAGAAGCTCGGCCATCTGAAGACTTCCTACTTGCACAACTCCTTGTCCACAGAGAAATCACCTGATCCAAACACAACACTAATAGCAAGAGACTTTCTGGAGAGGATGGGACGGCTCGGCTGGTATGCGGCGTTGGCCAAGGCAATGCTTGTGCGTCTTGAGCAGAATGTGTCAAGTTGTCGCTTGTTCTGCTGGAGAGGGAGCCCAACCGCAAAGACTGCAATTAGGGTCTGTTTGGGGTTTGGCTGTTTTTTTTTTAAAAAAAAAACAACCCATATGCTCTAGCACATGTTTCAACACTGACACTGAAACAATACACGCTTCTGGGAGAGATCAGTGCTCACGGCTGGAGCTGGAATGAATCGTGGCTTGGGAAGCACATGAGGCACCTGCGCGAGAAGCGAGGACGGCAATGCAGCAGTGCCCGTTCTCAGCTGCCCCGAAGGTCGGGCGAGGCGGGGCACCGCGGGGATGCTCTGCAGCCGACCAGGTTCCACACAAACAAATGGAGCAAAAGTTCAGAGCCCACGGATAAAACCAATGGTCCTTCAAAGGGACAGAGTATCAGGACGGTTTTCTCTGAAGTGCTTCTGGGCTACTTCTGTTTGCATCACCCTTCTTATTAGCCAGACAAGCCCCCGACACAAGGTTCGGGCTCCCCATGAGCACAAGCTGGTGCCTTCTCAAATAAAAGAATAAGAAAACTCAACAGTTGCTATGAAACAACATCATTCACCAAGAAAGTGGATTCCTTCTCTTGGGATCCCTTTACAAAAACTGGAATTCTCTCTTGTCGTTCCTGAGGACTGAACGTCTGCTCACATTCTGCATGTAAATATAAGTTCAAAAAAAATTCTCCATAGCTGTCAGTGAGCAATTGGCGCATCGTTGTGAGGCAGTCAGCTGTACTGCGATGTCATGGGCTGAGAATGTTCTTTTAATTGTAACTGACACACATAATTATACAACTGATCTGTGTGAACATGAGGTTGCCAAGGAACTGAACATTTCGCTTCTCCCCAGACTGGCGTCTGCGGAGATACCATCGCACTGAATGAAATATATTAAGACTTAATTGCTTCATGCAACGGGTCTCCAGAGAGCCAGATAAGTTTACTTCGAGAAAACTGGCATTGTCTGAAGAGACCCTCAACTCATTTTTCTCTTTCCTGGAGGAAAGAACACTATAATGTAAGACTTTATTTAAAGCTATTAAATGCAGCAGAATAAAGTAGTCTGCTGGAAATAGCAGGAGGACCTGAAGGGACAGGAACGGAGGCAGACGGATAACGATAATTGGTGCAGAAGACCAAACACAGTTTCCCAGCTCCCACTGACGACTCTACTTCTGACAATGGCCTTGAGTAAAGCTTTTAAAAACTTAGAAATATTGACAGAACCACGGAATAATTCAGGTGGGAAGGGACCTAGGGAGGTCCAAATTCCTGCTCAAGGCAGAGCCAACTCTCAATTCAGACCAGGTTACAGATGGCAAAAAGAACGAGTCAAAATTATTATTAGACCATCAGATGAATTCTTAAAGAATCATCCTCACTAACACCTCACTAAATCCTACTCATCACAGGTAACTCTCAGACCTGGGAAGTCCACTGGGTATTTGCTGGAGGACCTGACCCCTGGCTGACTTGTGCAGGGTATGGGAGCAACAGAAATCTGCAGAGCATAAAGACATAACCCTCGGCAAGCGCTTCCTTGATGAAGCTGAACTCAGAAAGAAGACACCTCACTGAGGTCCTGGGCGCTCCATCTTGTGATAACTGGACCTTAAACCAGCCCAGAATTTGGCCCCAGACTGCCTTTCCTCCATCAGCTGTAAGATGATGAAAAGAAAACAACATCCCACAGCTGTGGGCTACAGTCCCTCAGCTTCTAAAGACTTTGGTATATTGCATCCTGCTTTTTTTTTTTAAAAAAAAGAAAAGATGATAACGTATTTGGATATTTCACAGCTTTTAAAGCCTCCCTGGGCTTTCCTATTTGGGCAGCACAGTTTATGGCTATTGTATCCGCAGCACAATCTTTTTGCTGTTTATTCTTTAAGGCTTTTTGTTTTTTCCATCCCCCAGAGACAGGTTGTGTAACCGTCCCCCTGCCCTACTCCCAACACATCCACGGCAGCGCTCACGCACGCTCAGTCCTTCACGGGAGAGCGGTCAGACCGTCGCGGTGCCGTCCGTCCTTTGCTCACACCACGGTCTCCGTCCTTTGCTCACACCACGGTCTCGTTCCCTTTCCCAGGTTTCACCCAACCATCTGCTCTCTTCTCCCGTTTCACTTTCCCTGAGTTCACCAGTCTGTTCGAGCACTTCTGCCACGTGTGCAGAGTTTTGGCTGACCAGATCCACATACCTGATGTAATACCCACCAGGAGGGACATGAAGATTTTGAGCATCTCCACTGCCATATTGGAGTCATCTGCCGAATAGCGGAAAATGGCCCAGTTGGAGATCTCATAGAAATAACAGGCGATGACACACGTTGCTGGGACGGTGTACAGCACTGAAAAGACACCGATTTTGACCATCAACCTTTCCAGTTTGTCAGTTTTCGTTCCATCTTTCTGAAGATTGGACCTGATTTTAAATAAGGCCACGAGTCCCGCTGCAATGAATAAAGTCCCAATGACCAGGTAGGTAAAAAGCGGAGCGACAACAAAGCCCGTCAGCGCGTCAAGGTTCTGGTTCCCAACGTAGCACAGACCGGTGAGCTCGTCTGCGTCTACCAGTCTCATAATCAAAATGACGATGGTCTTCACCGCCGGGATAGCCCAGGCTGCAATATGGAAATAAGAGCTGTGCATTTCTATAGCTTCATGGCCCCACTTGAGTCCCGCAGCCAGAAACCACGTCAATGTGAGAATAACCCACCAGATGGAGCTAGCCATCCCGAAAAAATACATCAGCAAGAAAATTATAGCACATCCTGTGTTCTTAAGACCTTCTTGGATAAGAACAGGTTCTGCTGCCTCTTCAAAATCACAGGATATCCTTTCCCGGCCCACAGTTAGCCTCACAATATAAGCAATGCTATAAATATTGTAGCACATGCTCAAAAATATGATTGGGCGCTCCGGGTAGGAAAATCTGGATGAATCAATCAGGAAGGTCAGGACCGTGAAGGCAGTCGAGATGAAGCAGAGACTGGCCCACACGGCCATCCAGATATCCGTGAACTCCTTCGCTGACCTGCTGTAGAGACCAGCGTCGTAGCCACACTTGAGGACACAGTTCAAGCTTCTCTTCACCCAGATGTACTGGTCCGAGTTGGACCCCACGCTGTGGCACTCCTCTCCGGGCTGCAACGAGGTCTTGCTGTGGAGGGGAACCTCTTCGTCTCCAGGGCCCTCCATGCACATGTGATTGTGATCATTCTGGGGTGGGAATTTGCTGCAGTTCAGGCTGTCCGGCCAGGCAAATCCAAACTCTTTCAGAACGGGTTCGCATCTCCTCTTGACAGAGAGGCACATGCCACCGCAGGGACCTATGGGGATGTTGATCTTCTCCGTGCACATCGGGACGTAGACCGAACAAAGGAAGAACTGGGGGGGAGAAACAGAGACGCCAAGCGCGTTAGGGGAAAATTAAACAGGTCAAAATATAACAAGTTTTCTTTTTTTGCCTTTTTAGCAGTAATATTTGGTCCTCTGCCTTAAAAAAAAACAGGAAGCAGTATAAAACAAATAAACCAAGTACAATAAAAACAAAGGAGAACAACAAAACACCCTAAAAATATTGTCTGCCTTCGGTTCGAGCGTGGTCCGAAGCCAAAGCCCGAACGCTTCCCTCCCCAGACCAGCTCCGTGTGAACCCAGCCCACCCGTTCCACGACCGCGCGTGGGCTTCGGCCGGATCCAAACCCCAAGGGCGCGATTTCGGAAAGCGGAAAAAAAACCCCCAACTCGCAGGGGTTCAAACCAACACGTGTCCTTGCTCCCGGCGCTGCCCGGGTTACAGCCGGCGGAACAGGCGC